GTTCAACAGAGAGCAACAAAGTATATTTTAGGGTATCCTGATGCCCTTATTACCTAGAAAGAAAGGCTTATTAAACTGAACCTATTGCCAGTGTCATATTGGCATGAAATCAGAGATTTGAGTTTTTTTCTTTAAGGCCATAAATGGCACATATAACATAGATATTACAGGGTTTATTCAGCCCAAAGTAATAGTTAGATCCACTTGTAATAGTTGTTCCTTAGATTATCAGCCTTTAAAATGTATAACGTCTCTTTTTCAATGTAGCTATTTCAACTGTTAAGTTATGGAATTCTTTGCCTTTGTCATTAAGAACTTTACCTAGTGTTATTGCTTTCAAAGGATCATTAATTAAACATTACAAAAAAGCTCTTATCAAAACGTTCGATCAGGACAATGTTTTTACTTGGAAGTTCTTGTGTCCTGAATGCTTTGCCACCAGGAATTTAATTGGTTTCTGCCAGTGTTGCTTCTAATTACTTATAACTATTACACTTACGCATATTTTATATATTTTATGAATTTGCATATTTTATATAGATATTTTTAAGACATATTAAATTAGTCTTGTATTACCAATTTTTTTTTTCCTTTGGACTTTCACCTAGTTGGAGCTTGCTCTGTTGTGATTGTTCCTCACTGAGCTTTTTGCTTTTCGCTTTTCGTTTTGCTATTGAGCTTATTTATCCTTTTTATTTTTTTTTATTTTTTAACTCAGTGGAAGTTTAATAAGTTTAAATAAAATAAAAAACTATTAAATGATCCCATTGTTACGTTGAATGAGTTCTGAGAATTCTTTTTTGTCCACAGGGTGTAATCATTGAACAATATTGATTTTTTTTGTGTGTGAGAGAGTTAATTTTGCAATCCTCTTGGGAGATGCTACAAACTCCAAAGCCTTTTCCAACAGTTGGCATGAAATAGAGGGTTAAAATTGACACTGTTGAATGAACAATGATTTTTGTTTGGGATGCCCCTGAACAAGTCCCGAGTGGCCCTTGTGTTTCTCCATAGCAGGTCTTCTGTCTTGCACTCAACCAGATGTTGATGTTGTTCAGGTTTTGTTTACTGAATTTTCCTATTTCCAAATTTGGAGTGAGGTGCGATATTTCACTATATACAATATATACTACACTGACAAATAGTGTAAATGTACAAAATATACTGTATATACTGTAAATATATACAGAGTATACCTTAACTGTAAATTCTGTATATTGTGCAAGCATATACGTATACACTATATACAAAATTTATCATGTCTATTACATAAAGTGTATATTCTGTATAAAGTGTCTATTGTATAAAGTGTAAACAGAGTATAGAAAACTGGAGGAGGGAGTGTATATTGTATATTTATACACTTTAGACACATGTCTATTGTATAAAGTGTATATTCTGTATAAAGTGTATACAGAGTATAGAAGTGAACTGTAGGAGGGAGTTTATATTGTGTATTTATTAAAAACTGGTTCATTGGATAATGCAATTCAAGACTTTTTATTGGCTTAGCCATTATGGTATATGTGCCAATATACCATAATCTACAAATATGGTAAGCGTACGCGTCAGCTTAAAATCAAAAGGAAGCTAAAAAATCCGGTTTCTTCTTACAAAATAACAATTTCTTGGGGGCGTTTTTAATAAAACANGAACAAGCAATCTAGAAGGCAAGGGATCAAGACAACATGGTTTGGATGCAGTCTTGCCAATGATCTCTGACAGTTCTTTAACGGTAGTTAGTGAGAGTGTAGTCAATTCACAATCAAGTTTAGGTGTATCAAACAGTGTTACAGTCGGAGAAAAAGTTGCTCGACTTACAAGTTGCTCTTTTGTGGTAGCAATCTTCTCAGTGAAAAAGTTTGCAAAGTTATTAGCGAGATCGCTAGCTGACGTACATGACGGATAGAGTTTATCAGGTTTTCTGTGAAGAAGGCGATTGTATATTCTGCAGAAAGTGTGTACAGCTTGGTATATAAGGCTTAGTATTTTCATTTGATTGTTCAAAAGTAAGGATATTGGTTAATATTTCGACTGTATTTGTCTTTTAAATCTCTTGGGACAATCAAATAAAAATACCAAGCCTTCAGTCACGCTTTGGATGTTTATTGCTGTGCATTCTGACAAAAAACACTAGGTTGGAGTTGATCTTTTTTTATTTACCTACAAACAAAATGTACTAAAAGTGTTGATATTTGCATAGGTTAGGTTCAGGGGTTAGGGGCCCAGATAAACCTAACCCTAACCTTGACCTATCCTAACCAGGTTCCTAACCCTAATGTAGCGTAATCATGTGTCTAAGTTAAAATGTAAATTTAAAGTGCATATTTGTCTAAATCTACTTTCATTTTCTTAAGGAGTTCTTTATTCTCGTCATCTAGATCGTCGATCTTTCTCCTCAAAACTTTCTTTATTCGGTTGGTTTTACCAGCCTGGAAGTTTTCGTCGTGTACAGTAGCTCTCCTAAGCCTAATCTTACAACGTCGTTCATTAGTGCTTCTGCCTCTTCTTTTCGGTATTTATTGTCCACTGGTTTTTGGATATACCGCTGGGATATCTTGGTGACTGTTACTGGGGCTTCAAGTTCCAACAAACGCTTAAGGTGGTGGTAATCTGTGTGGTCTTCTGTTGTGGTGTCTGTAGACATTGCAGGCACATCCCGTTTAGATTGCTTTCCAAGTGCAAATTTTTGTTCTTTGCAATAGTCCAATAAGGTTATAGCTTTGGTCATGAACTCTGCTGGAATTTCATAGGACCACTCCGTAAATGACGCAGGATCTTTGACCTTCTCAATGGGTTGATATAAGCCGTAATTTATGGCTGCCAATCGTGCAACCTGCCCTTTAGCTTTAGATAGGATACTCTTGTGGTCCCCTTCCCGACGTTGTTGATTTCTTTTTCGTTCATTTAAAGCGTCTTGGTACGCTACGAATTCCGTGTGTGCATCTCTGGAAAATGTGTATTTTGTGCCGTCATCCTGAAGAAAATCATCCAGTGTGTGGAAGATGTCATCTAGCTTTGGTGTGTTGGGAGGTGGTTTTATGAGTTCGTCATAGTCCACATCTTTCTCAGGTGGGCAGACGAAGATTTGTCTGTCGCAGAATCTGTCCTACTCGTTACCATTAAGAAGGCTGACAAAAACATCCGGTTGTACGAATCCTGCGATGTTAAAACGTGTGAGGTGCTACCATTTATAAGGGACAGCATTGTTTCTCTGTCCGCACTACCGTTTTTGTATTTGTCTAGCTGCTCGTAAAGCAGAGATATATCATCGTATAGTCCAATGATTCGTCCATTATTTCTCTTCAGTGTGTAATGAAGTTCTTCCATGGAAAAACGTTCTATGTACATTTGTAGTTCTTGTCGATGTAATATGTAGGTAAAAGATAGTTGGAGCCCGACACGTTGTCTGTTCAATGACTAAACGAAAAGCGCAATTTGCTTAGAGTTTGCGTTTTTTATGGTGTTCGAAGAATCATTGGTGTAAAAAACAAAACATAAACAAAACATTATCTTTATTTAAGATAAAATCACATATCCTAAGTTACAACATAAACTCACAAGGGAAACTATTAAATGTCTTATTTAAAAATTATCCTATTACTAAAAACGTTCTTAAACCTTTCAGTGTGGATTCTAGGGACAGAGACTGACTTATTTCTAAGATTGTACCTCGTGTTCTTTTCCTTAGGTAAAAATTGGAAAAACGAGCATTCGGGGTCAGTCGATCTTTTTTTGTAGAGTGCCTTGTCCGCCTTCTCTAGCAAATCCCTGATATCTACATTCTTGGACATAAACTTCCTTTTCTAACACCGGTCCAAAACATTCTGTATTATAGAAAGGTCGGAGTCTGAGGCACCATAAACCGGCAGGGCATAAGAAAAAATTGGTAAAACTATAGAATTAAAAAGGTGATCTACTTCGTCCTAGGACATTCCTTCCTTACGTAAAGATCCTAATATGAATAATAACTTGTTCGCCTTAATTACCTTCGCGCGCACATGACTACTATATTTACAATTTTGTTGGAAAGTAATACCTACTATGGATAACTCTGCACACTGCGGTGGGTAAGGTAACGAATCTGATCCAACCGACACGTTGGCCGGACCTTAAAGAAAGACTCTGCCTCGCTGGTACTTTCGCTTGGCTCCAAACTTCGACTCGTCGATCTCCACTGTTTTTCCTACACCTCCGATCTTCATGTCAGCGTTCATAATTTTCGGCGAACATACCTTTCGTAAGTCGCTCAGCGCACGGATCACTGTAGGCTTTAAAAGGCTAGTC